AAGGATGGAAAATACGATTCATGTACTCCATGAATACTTCCGGTGCATTAGTGACACCGAAAGGCATCACCGAATATTCGTAATGTCCATACCTCGTCCTAAAAGCAGTTTTCTGAACATCTTCTTCTTTCACCCTTATCTGATGGTAACCCGATCTTAAATCAATCTTACTAAACATGCGAGCGCCAACCAATCAGTCCATCAAATCATCAATTCTAGGAAGTGGATACCTATTCTTGATAGTCACTTTATTCAACTGACGATAATCAATACAAAGTCTCATGCTACCGTCTTTCTTCTTCACCAATAACACAGGAGCTCCCCACGGCGACACACTAGGTCTAACAAACTTCTTCTCGAGCAAATCTTCTAATTGGATCTTCAGTTCTGCTAACTCAGATGTGGACATCCTTTATGGTGCCATAGAGATAGCTCTGGTACCAGGGACAAGATCCACAGAAAATTCAACTTCTCTTTCTAGAGGTGCACTAGGAATCTCATCAGGGAATACTTCGGGAAAATTGCACACCATCGGAAAGTTTGATATCACAACTTGACTCTCCACAGAAAGAGTCGCCATCAACAAGAAAACCAATGCCTCATCCTTCATGAACTCATTCAACTGCTTCGTCGACACCAACATAGATTGTTCTTCTTCTACTAAGGAAGAAAACCTCACAGTGTTCTCATAGCAATTGATATGGACATAATTGGCTTTTAACCAGTCCATACCTAAAACCACGTCCAACCCGACAAGCGGTAAACAAACAAGATCCACCACAAAGTCTCTATCAAAGATTGATAAAGGGCAACTTGCACACACAAAAGAAGTAGTAACCGTTCCCTTAGCCAAAACTTCTACCACCATATCTCTATCCAGAGACGACAAAGTGATACCCAATCTCTTTACACAATCAACAACAATAAAACAGTATGTAGCACCAGTATCAATAATAGTAATAAGAGGAAAGCTATTAATGAAACTAGTACCTCGAACAAGACCATCCTCGTTTTCCGTCGGAGCACCCGACAAAGCAAACACCTTTCCTGCTCCTTGAGTCTTCTTAGGCTTCTTACATTGAGCAATAATGTGACCTCCCTCGCCACAACTAAAACAGAACACATCCTTATGTCTACAATCGCGAGTCATATGGCCCACTTCTCCACATCGGAAACATCTCACCTCATTCTCCTTAGCTCTAACATCGCTTCGACAAACATTACTTTTATGGCCAGGTTTCCCACACTTGTAACAAACAATACTAGCAGGAGCATCTCCCCCACTAGTTCTTCGCCCTTGAAACGCTTTCTGTTTCCCTTTACCAGCTGGAGCATCATACGATTTTCCACGGCTTTGCTGACCTTTGTTTCTCTTATCAGACATAATCTTATAATGAGCATTACTGTCCTCCTCAAAGATCCTACAACTATCAATCAAATCCGAAAAGACACGGATTTTCTGATAACCAACAACTTTCTTAATCTCAGGATGCAAACCATTTTCAAACTTGATGCATTTAGAGAACTCGCCATTCAGCCCATCATAATGTGGATAGAATTTGGCCAACATAGTGAACCTTGTAGCATAGTCAGTGATAGACATGCTTCCTTGCTTTAATTTAAGGAACTATATCCCTTCTTTCCCCGAACATCTTCCGGGTAATACTTCCTCATGAATTCCCTTCAGAAAACTTCCCATGTCACTTCTCACCAGCAATCTCAAGCCTCTGACGGGTTTTAACCCACCAGTCATCCGCTTCAGCACTTAGTTAATGAGTACCATAACAGATCCTTTACACAGGAGTGCAATCCATCACACAGAAGATTCTCTCTTTGGAAGGTTGCCAAACTACGAGACCCAGCGTTCTCGTCAGCATTCGGCGGGTTTTGGAAATCCTGAGCCATTTCCTGCATAGCAGCAGCAAGAGCCTCATCATTCCTACCAATGTTCCTTCTAGCCATAACAACTTCTGCTCAAAACAAAATAAGGATTAGAATCAACAAATAACAATACTTGATTGATAGACGACAACAAACTCAATAACTTGGCCGGACAGACCGACCTGCTCTGATACCACTAATGTAACACCCCAATTCTACCCCTCATAATTAATAATAAAATCAGAGTTTCAAAATTTCATCCAAACATAAATTCAGGTATCACATATTCATGTTTCCATCACTTTGCATTATAATGCACATCACAAAATCAAAAGTCGGATATACCGATTCATATCACAAATCATCATATAAACATATGAATATTCATAGCACAACGGATGTGTTCACAAAATGTATGTATCATCATGTTATCATCAATACATAAAGTCATAAGATAGTATACATAAACTATCCTATCAAAATAATAACGTCGCCCAAATCCCGAGTGTTACTACTATCAGAGTAGAGCAACTCAACATAAAGAGACTCGAGCTAATCCTCATCATCCTCGCGGATCACCTGCACATTACCAATATAAAGGCAACGGCGAAACAAGTAAAGGGTGAGATACTCCAAAACATATAATTAAAGGAATGATAAAATATATAAATAGTTTTGGAATCATAAATGATATAGGTTAATAAGAATATGTCAACAAATATCAAATCTCACATACTTTAAAATCATCATTTAGTGTATAAGATCAACACTTTAATATCATCACATAATCACCATAATCATGTCAAAATAAGACATAAACTCCATCGCCATAAACTCATATCGTCGCTTTACCGTCATGTCATATCCATCGCATAATTTTCATGAAATTATCACATCATAATCACTTTATGTTCAACACAAGAATCATCACAAAATAACACTACGCCAAAAACTGCTTTTGCCAGCGCCTCTACTAAAGCGCTTATTGAAAAAGCGCTGCCATAGCCTTCACAAAAAACAAAATTAAAAAAAAGGGAAACCTACGAAGGCGCTTTTTTAAAAGCGCTGGCATAGGTGGGGGATACGAAAGCGCTTATTGAAAAAGCGCTGCCATAGCCTTCACAAAAAACAAAATTAAAAAAAAGGGAAACCTACGAAGGCGCTTTTTTAAAAGCGCTGGCATAGGTGGGGGATACGAAAGCGCTTATTGAAAAAGCGATGCCATAGCCTTCACAAAAAACAAAATTAAAAAAAAGGGAAACCTACGAAGGCGCTTTTTTAAAAGCGCTGGCATAGGTGGGGGATACGAAAGCGCTTATTGAAAAAGCGCTGCCATAGCCTTCACAAAAAACAAAATTAAAAAAAAGGGAAACCTACGAAGGCGCTTTTTTAAAAGCGCTGGCATAGGTGGGGGATACGAAAGCGCTTTTTACATTAAAAGCGCTGTGGTAGGTCAAATAAAAATATTAATAAAAACGAAATAATAGGGTTATGAAGGCGCTTTTTAAAAAGCGCTGTGGAAGATTGGCCTTTGAAAGCGCTTTCAAAAGCGCTGGCATAGGGTCTGATTATAATCCAAAGCCCGGTTCAATTATTTTGACATGCCCATTATCAGAAAAAAGCGCTGAACTCAAGCTGGCGGAGGTAGTTGTCGTTGTCGGTCTCCAGAAACCGTTGAACTCCGAGAGCGCATCACTGTTCAAGCATCCTCACTCTCTCACGTTTTCTCTCTTTCGATCTCAACCTTCATTTTCGTTTTCTTCTTCCAATCAAGTAAGTTCATCAAATTCTTCTCTCTTCGTATATTATTTATGCTTTTGTGACAGTTTCAACCTTAGTGTTACTCTAATAATCGAACCCCGTTTTTAGGTTCTTTTAGAAGTTTTGATTTTTGGGGATTTTGGGGAATGTGCATTTCTCTGTTGTTTATGTGTTGAAAACTATAGGATGCATTTTTGTACCTAATTGTGTTGCCTTTAAGGTGTTTGATAATTGTCCTGAGTGGTGTTATGTGAATTTTTGTCTGAGTAGACTGAACTTTGAGTAGACTGGAATAGAACACGGATCTAGAAAAGATATGGTCTTTTATTTGGTCTGCTTCATTTTTTGTCATTTTCTTGTTCTTCATCCATTCATTTTCATGCCCTTTAATATATACTCATATTCATATTCTTCCTGGAATTTCCTTACCTAATGTAAAATCTAAATCCTGCAAAAAAAAATGATATTCTCATTTAAAAAACCAAGCTTTATTAAATTAAATTATATAAATATAATAAGATGAAACATAAGAGACATGATTTGAGAGCTTACAAACATGTTGGTAGAATTGTAGAACATGACATGCACCACTATGAATTTTAAATTAATGAAAATGAACATAAGTTGTTGTTGAATCCATGTGAATTAAGAAACTTTTGTCGTTGATCTTCTACCTCCCAAAAATGGCTACCATCCTGAAAATGAAGTTTTTTCATCACAAAACTAATTATTAAAAGACATTTTTAAGACCATTTTTGTTGTTTATGTTTTTGTACCTCAGAGACGACGTTTGATCTCTGTCTTTGAAGAAAAACGGAAGCTGAAGTATCCAAAAGGTGGTTGTAGTCATTAGTAGTTTGGAAAATGTTGGTCGGAGTCATGGTGGTTGTATCAGCAAAAGCTGTGCCTTGTTTGGGACTGTTGCAATGTGACACTGATGATGATAGTGGTGATGGTGATGCTAAGTTATTTAATTTCTGATATAATTCAAAATATAACAAAGTTAGTTACTTTCATTATTAATAATTAATATATATTATGAGCCAATTTATTACTAAACGTAAGTTAATTAATTTTGTTCCTCACCTCTGGTCTAACCATGAAAGTGTCTAGATCTGTTGCCATGTCATAGAACATAGGATTCACTGAAGTAAGTTTCATTGACAAAAACTGCAAAAATAAATAAATAAATAAGCATCAACAAAACCCTATATATAATTAGTTTTTATAGACATAATATAAGAGATTAGTTCGAGGTTATTAGTGTTACCTCTACTTGATTTTGTAAAGACTGAACATATTAGTGTTACCTTTCCTTTGCACTCTACTTTTGTATCTTTTCTGTTGTTCTGGTGTATATGTTGAAATATAATTTTTGTATTACTAATAGAAATATCAAGTAAAATATATGTGTAGTTCTGAAGTTTTAATTTTTACATAAGTGAAATTAAAAAGACCCGGGAATTTATTATGTATATAAAAATTGAAAGCTCCATTGTCACTCTCATTTATCCTGCATTTATGATTTGTTTTTCTTCTCTCTCTGAACCTTAGTATGAATTTTGATTGAATCACAGGGAGAAAGAATTAGCTGCTGTTAAGATAAATGCAGCAGATGTTGATATAATTGCAAACGAACTAGAGGTAACTTCTTCAACATGTACAGAATCTATCTAGTAAGCTTACATTCCAATTAATTAACATACTTTTCTTATACAACAGTTGGACAAAAAGGTGGCTGAAAGAACCTTGCGTTGCTGCCATTCGTCATTTGCTTCACTAGTATGGTGGAAACAAATAAGGGAATGTGATCTATATTGTCAATGAAAATGTTTTGTTTTTAGTTACTCCTAAGTTTAACATGTTGTTTACATTCAAATCATGCAGCGGATAGTTCAACGATTTAATATCGATTGTGGTAGGAAAAAGCTGTGAAACTTTCTCCGATTGAAGAAATTCGAACTGTCCTTGATCGTAGTGTACGCGGGACGCTCTCAACATTTTCAAAGGTTTCTATCCTATTCTTGAACTGACTTGAATAACTGATTGTTTTTACTTTTATTTTCCGGCTCAGTGTGAATTTCTAATGATTATAGTTGAGTGGAATTCATGAGCTGCGGTTGTGTTTTTGTTTATATCCGACTTCACTAGTTAGTAATTAGTTATGAGTTGTTTAGCACATGCTTAAGGTGAGGCAAGAATAACTATGAATTTGATTACCTGATATGTTGAATTTCTTTACAGGTAATTAATTATTATTTTGCTATAGTTGCGTGACTAATTAGTTGATATAGTCAAACCATGGATAAAAAATGGATGACTGCCAATCGATTGTCGAAAGAGTATGAGGATGGGGTATCAGAATTCGTTAAGTTTGCCGTTACGCACGCCAGAGAACCCAATGGAATGATATGTCCTTGCTTGAGATGCTGTTATGGGAGACGGGTTGACGCGGTTCAGTTGGAATCGCATTTACTGATGCATGGAATTGATAGAAGTTATGCATGTTGGAATTTGCATGGTGAGAAAAGTAGCGGGAATGTTGAATCGAGTTATAATACGACGTATGCTTCAAATGAGGATTTCGCAGACGCATACGATTATGATCAAGTCGAAGAGATTGCAGAAGCGCTTGAAGAAGATCTTGAGGATTGTCCCAAAATGTTCGAGAGGTTGGTAAGCGATGCAGAGAAACCGTTGTATGATGGTTGTACAAAATTCACAAGATTGTCTGCGGTGTTAAAGTTGTACAACTTAAAGGCGGACAACGGATGGTCGGATAAAAGTTTCACACAGTTATTAGCCCTCGTGAAAGAAATGCTACCAGAGGATAATGTTCTTCCCAATCGAACGTATGAGGCCAAAAAGATGTTGTCCTCTATTGGCATGAGCTATGAAAAGATACATGCATGTCCAAAAGATTGCGTTTTATTTCGAAACGAGTACGCAGTGTTAAATGAGTGTCCTAAATGCGGTGCCCCTCGATATAAGGAAAAGTTGTCTCCGAAAAAGGTGTTATGGTATTTTCCTATAATTCCGAGATTTAGGCGCATGTATCGTAGTGAGACCGATTCAAGACACTTGACTTGGCATGCAGATGAAAGAATTATTGATGGGAAGTTGCGACATCCGGCAGACTCACCACAGTGGACGAAAGTTGATATTGATTATCCTGAATTTGGAAAAGAAGCAAGAAATCTTCGCTTGTCGTTGTCTACTGATGGAATGAACCCGCATGGTATTCAAAGTATCTCGCATAGCACCTGGCCTGTGATTCTTATGATATATAACCTACCTCCGTGGCTATGTATGAAGCGTAAGTACATGATGCTATCTATGTTAATTTCTGGGCCCAAACAACCAGGGAATGACATAGACGTGTACTTGGCACCCTTAGTCGAAGATTTGAAGTTTTTGTGGGAGACCGGTGTGGAGGTTTACGATGGGTATAGGAAAGAAAGTTTCAACTTGAGGGCGATGTTGTTTGGAACAATTAATGATTTTCCAGCGTACGGAAATCTATCAGGGTACAGCATTAAGGGTCAAAAAGCGTGTCCTGTTTGTGAAGATGAAACCGATACGATGCGATTGAACTTTTGTCAGAAGAATGTTTTTCTCGGTCATCATAGATTCTTAAATTCTAATCATCACTATCGTGGGTGGAGAAAGGCATTCAATGGAGAGGCAGAACACGGTAGAGCTCCACATATGTTGACAGGTGATCAGATTTTTGAAAAGGTGAAAGATGTGAGTACTGAGTTTGGCAAGCCTTTTGCACATAGACTTGTCACGAGTGGGTGGAAGAAGAGGTCGATTTTTTTTGAACTTCCATATTGGAAGTCGTTGTACGTAAGACATTTCCTCGATGTTATGCATATTGAAAAAAATGTATTTGATAGTGTTATTGGTACGTTACTCAATATACAAGGAAAGTCTAAGGATGGCATTAACATAAGGAAGGACATGTTAAACATGGGAATTAGAACTGAATTGGCACCCGTGACGAAAGGAAGACGCACATATCTACCACCTGCTGTTTACACTCTATCTAGAAAGGAGAAGAAAATATTGTGTAAGTTCCTCAGTGAAGTTAAAGTTCCAGAAGGCTACTCATCAGATATTAGAAGACTTGTGTCAATGAAAGACCTAAAGTTAAAGAGTTTAAAGACTCATGATTGCCATGTTATAATGGAACATTTTCTACCAATAGGTATACGTTCTATTCTGCCAGAAAAAGTAAGGAGCGCAATAACTAAGTTGTGTTTTTTCTTCAAGTCAATTTGCAGCAAGGTGATCGATCCTGCGATCTTACCAACATTGCAAAAAGAGGTGGTTGTTACTTTATGTGAGCTTGAAATGTATTTTCCTCCCTCGTTTTTTGACATAATGGTTCATCTAGTCGTTCATCTTGTCAAAGAGACACAGTTGTGCGGACCAGCTTATATGAGATGGATGTACCCTGCTGAACGTTATATGAAAATTTTAAAAGGGTACGTGAAAAACCGAAGTCGACCGGAGGGTTGTATTGCGGAACGATACATTGTTGAAGAAGCGGTTGAGTTTTTCACTGAATATCTGTCAAATGTTCAATCAATTGGACTCCCCAAATCTCATATTGTCGAGAAAAAAGAAGGAAAAAGACTAATTGGAAATAAAGTTGTGACAGTGTCAATGGTCGAACGGGATCAGGTGCATTTGTATGTTCTGCACAATGAGATTGAGGTTGAGCCGTATGCTGAAATGCACAAGGGTGTTCTTCGAGGTTTAAATCTGAATAGAAATGAGAATTGGATAGTACGAGAGCACAATCGAAGTTTCATATCGTGGTTTAAGGAACAAATTTATTCAAAGTATCGTTCGGATCCTGCTTCAGTAACAAAAAGGTTGAGATGTTTAGCATATGGTCCAAGTATGATTGTGTTTTCTTATAGCGCATACGCAATTAATGGATACACATTTTATACCAAAGAACAGGATGATAAAAGTACTATGCAGAATAGTGGTGTTACCTTGGTAGCTGAAGCGATGCACATATCAAGTGCGAATGACTTAAACCCGAAATTTGCAAATCTGTCATATTTTGGGGTTATCGAGCGCATTTTGTTGTTTGATTAAGGGAAGTTTCAGATTCCTGTATTTGATTGCAAGTGGGTTGAAAATAATAATGGCGTACGAATGGATAAGTCAGGATTTTTGCAAGTGGATCTCAATAGGGTGGGGTACAAATATGAACCTTTTATTCTAGCCTCTCAGGCTAAACAAGTGTTCTATGTCAATGATCCGACAAGTACGAAATGGTCTATAATGCTTTTGTGTAACAAAGTAATTGATGAAAACATTGGAGATCAAGGTGATATTGGCGTTGGCATTGAATCTTGTACAAGAAACGATCAAAATGAGAATGAACCTTGTACTAGAGATGATCATAATGAGGGTATTTGGATCAATCCAACCATCCGAGTTGTTAACAGAAGCGTAAAATATATTGCTACCAAGAAAAGAAAGAGACGTTAGTGAAAAAGGTATTATTATAATTATAGCCTAATATTGTAAGTAATATGTGAATAATGTTTTGAATTTTTGGCATATCTTTTGAACCGTTTTGAATTTTTGCGAATGTGACTAGTGTTTATTTAGTAGAACAATGTTTCCGGAGCTGATGGTGAGGTTTATTTCTTGCAAGTTTGGTTTTTTAGCATTTTATTCAATTTTGAGTTCCTTTAGTGCTATTCATATCTTTTTCGACTATCCATTTTCATGTAGTGTACTAATGTGCTTGTTTGACTTTTGTTACAGGTCTAATGGCTAGCAATGAAGAAAACCCGCAAGGAAACCAACAAGAAAACCCACCAGGAAACCAACAAGATCATGAAAACTCACAAGAAACAAATCATGCAGCGGATGATACTTCAGCAAATGATGTTGCACGAGGCATCACCATAATGCGCGAAATCATTCGTGCTAGAGATAAGGGAGTGAAATATAATGTAGATTGGAATCATTCAAATCAAGTAGTTGGGGTTAATGCTTCAAAATTCACAAGCTACGTTGGTACACTTGTTCGTATGCATGTGCCAATCTCCATATCTAGATGGAATGCGAAACAATGTGAAGCATTGAAGCAAGGAAAAGAAATGTTTTGGGAAGATGTTAAGGTATGTATGTTATATGGTTTATATGGTTATATGTTTATAAGTTTATAAATTTATATGGTGTATATGGTTTTTAAACTACTTATATGTTTATATGGTTTATATGGTTTTTAAATTACTTATATGTTTATATGGTTTATACGCAGCGGTCTTTTAACGTTCCAGATGAGCGTAAAGGCTTCGTACTTGGGTTGGCCGGGAAAAGATTTAGAGGGTGGAAAAATCTGTTGACGAACACCTATCTTAAGGATGACAAAGGAAAGTGGCTGGAAGAGTTCCCGGCCGGAAGGCCAGAAAAGTATAATCTTTTCATTAAACAAGAAGATTGGACTGAGTTTATTAGACAAAGAGATGACGAATTCCGGCAAAAGAGTGCCAAAAATAGTGAGAGAGCATCAAAGCCCGCGTATCCATACAAAAAAGGGCGTTTGGGATATGCGCGCTTAGAGGAAAAAATTGTAAGTAATAAATAGAAATGATATGTTCTTATTAATTGTCTAAATGTGTTGTATTTGACGATCTAACCGTTTGTTTCTATGCATAGTTAGAGGAGACAAAAAGTGATGAAACCTCACTTCCAGCACATTTGCTGTGGAAGGAAGCCCGTGTGGGCAAGAATCAAGCTGTTGATCCAAGTGTTCTAAGAATTTATGATGAATGCGTAAGTATAACATT